GATAATTTATATTTCTGTATTTTAAAAAATTTACTTACTCTCTTACTTATGTTATATGTACAATTGTACATAATAAGTAAATTATACCTATAACTACGAACAGTTCAAACTTAAAATTTCTCAAGAAGGAAAGAAATAAGGTGTAAAAATACTCTCAATTCATCCTCAATCGAATAAACCCGTGCAAGTCAACGAAAATCAGAGGCTTGTACTCTACCTTTTTGTTTTTACTTATTAAGTATATGAAATCTGTAGGGGTGGCATTGCCCTCCCTAAATTGTTCCAGCCGGGGCACATGTCCCTGTGCTCTACCGCCGACGGACGTGTGGAAAAGTCTACCGAACTAGATCGTTTAGTTAGAAGAAGTATGCTAACGAACGATTTTTACTTCCGACTGCGGAAATAAACGAACATTTCTTGAAAAAAAAATAGGGCCAATATAGACGTTTTATAGCATTTATAGTACAAATAATAAGATAATGAAAGATTCCCAGAAAAAAATGTTGAAATCACTTTTTAATTTTTGTCGGCCAAACTATAAACAATATAATAAATCCAAAATAAACTATCCCAATTGGATTATAGTTGTGATCCAACGGTTAAAATCAGTTAAAAATGTGATCTATGGACCAACGTAATCCCACCTCTTTAAAAATGGTTTCTTTGCGATAACTGAAAAACTACTCGGCCGATTTGGACCATATTTTTTACCAGTCGATGTGTCTAATAAATAAAGGAAGTAATCATATTTACTTTACATTATTTTGGGACTTTTGCCGATCGAATCCCTTTCAAACCTTTTACAATCTTTAGTAGGCCAAGAACTTCCGAAAACTATTAGAATCCTTGTAGATCCATTGTTTTACAATCTTCTTGGTGATCTTGAAAACGAAAAAATGTGGAATAATTGTAAGTATGTACCGACCTACAGTATCGCTATAATTTTGTATTTGAAAAAGCAAAAAGGAAATATAATCATATCGGATGAGGATATAGCCAAACATTTTGCCGAAACTTGTGAATCCCAATTTAACGACACCAAAAACCCCACAGAGGAGATATAAAATAAAGAGTGGTCTGAAAAAATAAAAATTGTACAAGAAGATCTCCACCCTCAACAAACAATTAACAATCAGAGAGCTAGAAACAGCCCTAAACTCTTCTAAAAATTCAGCAGCAGGCCCTGACAACATTCCTGGCATCTTCCTTAAAAACCTCCCATCCAATGCACAAAAACAATTACTCCGCATATTCAACCACATATGGGTCCACAATACTTTCCCAGCACTGTGGCAGACCTCAATCATCCTACCGATACTTAAACCGGGGAAAAACAGACTGGACGCTACATCCCACAGGCGTATTTCGCTAACATGCACTATGTGCAAACTGATGGAAAAAATAATATGGAAGAGATTCATATGGTACCTCGAAAACGAAAAGTTATTAAATGAATCACAATTCGGCTTCCGTCAAAATCGCTCAACAATAGAAAATCTTATAGCCCTACAATCAGAAATCACTAGAGGATTCCACAACAAACAGGACACAATAGCCGTCTTTTTTGATATAAACAAAGCTTTCGACAAAATATGGAGATTTAAAATCACCGAAACTTTATACAATTGGAACTTTCGACTAAACATATTACGATTTATTCACAACTTTATGGAAAATAGATCTTTTCAAGTACGGATTAATAACACTGTCTCTCAACGATATCAGCAAAGAAATGGAGTTCGGTCTTGAGCCCCGTACTTTTCCTAATTGGCATCCACGACATCACACACATTATAAATTTACCAATGAAAGCATCTTTATTCGCTGAAGACCTAGTAGTTTACACTAGAGGCAGAAATATACATGTAATGCATAACTCAATACAAAACACAATCATTAGTTTAACACATTGGGCAAAAATAAGAGGACTCGAATTCACAAACGCAAAAACGACAGTAATGAGGTTTTCCCCAAAAAATCATCACAACATATCACCGAGTTTTACACTCAACGGAAAGCCTATAACACAGGCCAAAAATCACAAATTTTTGGGACTGCACCTTGACGAGAAACTGAATTTGAAAAATCATATAAAAAACTTAAAATCTGAATGCCTCAACCGCATAAACATAATAAAAACACTTTCATTGGGGATCACAGGAAAGCATACTTAGGACTATATATCTTACAACTATTCGAAGCAAAATCGACTATGGTGCAATCGTTTATGCAACAGCTAGAGACAGTGTACTAAAGTCATTAAACGTTATACAAAACACTGCACTAAGACTCGCACTAGGAGCACACCGTACAAGCCCTGTAGAAAGTATCTACCGCGAATCAGGAGTGCCACCGTTGTGGCTCAGAATAGAAGAAATCGCTTTAACATATAGTTCAAAAATATCGGCCCTACCTAATCTATCATCATATAGTAAAATATTATTCGAAAAATCAAATCAACTCCCAAAACAACCACACCCCATAAGTTATATCATACACAACATTCTCCCGTCATCTCTACAAATTGTCCACAGCACCAATACCTATAAAGCAAGTATCCCTCCATGGCTCATAACCTTTCCTACAATAGACTCCTCAATGCGTTCATACGAGAAAAATGAAACAGCTAAAACACAACAAATATTCAGCGAAATTTTACGCAAACACCCACATGACGTAGCATTGTATACCGACGCTTCACGAAGTTCTTCCGGAGTAGCATGCGCAGTGGTAGGAAATGACTTAAAACACATTTACAAACTTAACGACGATACGAGCATATTCACAGCAGAACTATATTCAATAAAGAAAGCAATCCAAATCATACCAATTCTTACCGTCAACATTAGAAAAGCAGTCATCTGCACAGACAGTCTATCATCAATCGTTGCAATAAACCAAATGTACAGCAGCAATCCAATCATACACGAAATCCAAGAAACCATCACCAAACTTAAAGATAAATCAGTGGACATCATAATAATATGGACTCCCTCACACTGCGACATACAAGGCAACGAAGAAGCCGACTTTGCGGCGCGCGATGCTGCCACTAGCTGTCAACTAGTAAAGACCTTTCTTCTGGCCAACGACCTAAAAGCAAAATACAAAAACCAGCTCAAACAAAAATGGAATAGGCACTGGAACCTACAAGCGACCGTACTACAAACTTTCGAAAAAACGATAAATCGAACGACATATACACATCTTCGAAGAAAAGATGAAGTACTGCTAAGAAGGCTAAGAATAGGGCACACTAATATTACGCACAACTACCTGCTGAACCGCACAGATCAACCCATCTGTGAAGTATGCAATGTAACAGTAACTGTGGACCACATCATATTAAAGTGCAAGAAATATACACAAGAACGGCTCAACCACAACATACCAGACAACAATGAACAACTATACTCTC